CTAAGCTTCCCCCCCCTTTCTTCATTTCCCCCCGCTGGTGGCGGAAGTTGCTGGCGCCCCCGAGAGCGCCACCCTGCGGGAGGGAAACTGGTGGGCTGAGGTGCGTCACTGACCTCCTTCCGCCGTGGGGAATAGAAATAGAGGGGGAGGCTGAGGGGGAGAAAAAGGAGGAGGAGGAGGAGGAGGAGGAGGAGGAGGAGGAGGAGGAGGAGGAGGAAGAGGGGGGAGGAGGAGGAGGAGAAGGAGGAGGAGGAGGAGGAGGAGGAGGAGGAGGACCAGGATGTAGATGATGATGATGATGATGATGATGATGATGATGATGATGATGATGATGATGATGATGATGATGATGATGATGATGATGATGATGATGATGCTGATGCTGATGCTGATGCTGATGCTGATGATGATGATGATGATGATGATGATGATGATTACGATGATGCTGTTGCGTGATGATGATGATGATGAGGGTGATAATTCTGGTGACGGTGGTGGTGGTGGATGCTGCTGCTGATGATGATGACGATGATGTTGCTGCTGATGATGACGATGATGATGAACATGCCGATGATGATGACGATGATGGAGATAGTGGTGGTGTTGATGATGCGGTTGTTGATGTTGTCGATGATGATGCTGACGATGGGGTTGATGATGCTGCTGCTGCTGCTGATGATTATCAGGGTGATGATGCGGATGATGATGCTGATGCTGATGATTACGATTATGATTATGATGACGACGATGATGATGCTGATGCTGACGATGCTGATGATGCTGATGCTGATGCTGATGATGATGATGATGATGATGATGATGATGATGCTGACGATGGTGATGCTACTGCTGATGATGATGGTGATGATGATTATGATGATGGAGATGATGATGCTGCTGCTGCTGCTGCTGCTGGTGGTGGTGATGATGAAGATGATGCGGATGATGATGATGATGATGATGATGCTGTTGCGTGATGATGATGATGATGATGATGATGATGATGATGATGATGATGATGATGGGTGGTGGTGATGATGGTGTTGCTGCTGCCGATGATGATGTTGCTGATGATGCTGCTGCTGATGACGATGCTGATGATGATGATGATGATCACGATGCTGGTGATGATGGAGGATGAGGTGGGAGAGGAGGAGGAGGAGGAGGAGGATGAGGAGGAGGAGGAGGAGGAGGATAATGAGGATAATGATGAGATGATGATGATTGATGATGATGATGATGATGATGATGATGATGATGATGATGATGATGATGATGATGATGATGATGATGATGATGATGATGCTGATGCTGATGCTGATGCTGATGCTGATGATGATGATGATGATGATGATGATGATGAGGAGGAGGAGGAGGAGGAGGAGGAGGAGGAGGAGAAGGAGAAGGAGGAGGAGGACTGGAGAGGAGCAGGAGGCGGAGGAGGAGGGCGTGGCCCCACCCCTCCCTGGGGCGCCGCGAGGACGAGCTTGGCCTGCTGGGGGCGCTCGATGCCTCGGCGGGCGGGCGCCGCGGCCCCGAGGGCCCGCTGGCGGCCGCGGCCGGAGCCGCCGCCGCCCTGCGCCTCAGCGCGGAGGGGGCCCGGGTCCCGGGCGGCCGGGGGCCTCGTAAAGTTTCGGGGGCGGCCACGACTAGGGGGGGGGGGCTACGACTAGGGGGGGGGGGGGCTACGACGAGGGGGGGCTACGACGAGGGGCCAGGACCAGGGGGGGCTGCGACTATAGGGGCTCCGACTAGGGGCTACGTCCCGGGCGGCCACGAGGGGGGCTACGACTGGGGGGGGGGATCTCACGGCGGGTGCCATGGCGCCTCTTCCGATTTCAAGGCGTCCCCGGCCCCACTCCTGGGCCGCGCACGTGCCGCCGCCCACCCATGATGATCTGCGCCCCCCCCCCCCTCCTGGAGGCCCCCTTGCTTGGACGCCTCCGGAGGACGGGCGTCGCGCAGTGGGGGGCGACGAGGAGTGGGGAGGGGCAGCGAAGGGCTCCGGAGAAGGGGCTCCTCGGGGCCCCTGAGGGGGCCCCGTCGGGCACACGAGGGGAGGCCCCCTCGGGGGATCCTTTCCGGGCCCGAAGGGTGCACCCCTCTGCCCCACCCTCCCAGCCGTCGCCCCCCCGCGAAGCGACGCCCAGGCAAGGGTGCCCAGCAGCTGCGGGCAGTACTCATATCCATATCCAGAGCGTCGTGGACTTCTTGGGAAGAGGTGCCGCAACGCCGAGGCGCACTGGATATGGATAAAAGCAAGCCTCTCGGGGCCAGATTTTTATCCGTATCCAGTGCGTCTACGGTTTCTGGGGAAGAGAGCCCAGGAATCCAAGACGCACTGGATGTGGAGATAACTATTGCCCGCAGCAGCGGCCGCGGTCGCTGTTGGGCGACAGCCGCTGTCGGGCCTCGCGCCGACTCTTTCCCTACCCAGGCCAACGCCCCCCCCCTTGCGCCTCAGCGCGGGGGGGGGGGGGGGGGCGCGCGCGGGTCCCGGGCGGTCGGGCGTCTCGTATAACGGGCGGACGGTGGAGGCCCGGGGGAGGCTTCGGGAGTTCGCGCAGGTTCCTGCGGGTTTTCCCGCCCTGGGGCGCCTCCCAGCAGCTGCGCCTCGACGGGGGGCATCTCGGAGGGTCCGAGCCCGAAGGCCAAGATCTGCGACAATGAAAGGGGTGGGCGGTGAACTCTGCGGAGGTCTCGGGCGACTGGGGCCTCCACGGTCCGCAAGCTGTGCGGCAGGGGCCCTTGCGGTGAGGCCTTTGGGGTTTCGAGGTCGCACTGCATCGTTTCTGGGACCCACAGCAGATGCCCTCCTGGCCAAGACAGTGGGTCCCAGCAGCTGGGTCCCCGTTTTGTTCCCGCCCCTGGGGGTGCTTCCCAGCAGCTGTGCCTCGACGGGGGCTTTCCGCGGGGTGCGGTGATCGTCCCGAGCGGCCGCAGGAGGTCCGAGCTGCGACCCCGAAGACAACATCTCCGACGACGTGTATTGGTTCCACCGGCGGCCTGTCTTCGATCTCAGCTGCGGGGGGGCCGATCTCGGGCCCAGGGCAATCAAACATGGATATGGGGCGAAAACTTGGCCCTGGGGGGAAGGTCGAGAAGTATGGGGGCGCGCACTGAACGAGTCAGATCGATGGATGTTCGGGCAGGAATGGGGGCGAATAATGGTAGCAGTGTCGTCCATGCTGACCAGGGGTCGCTGTCGGTGTCGCCGCTGCCGTGACTCATTTGAGACATGAGTTCGCCTGCCTAACAGCGGCCGCTAGTGGTTTTGGACGGCATCTGTTGCTGGGCATCTTCTCCGACGCTTCCACGCCCAATCTGGGCGTCCAAGAACAGGGATCGATGGTTAACTACAGGAAAGGATTTCCGAGGGAATCCGGTGCATTTCCGAAGAAACCTCTTGCATTTCCTAAGGAATCCTGTGGATTTCCTTGGGAAGCCGATGGGCTTCCTCACGAATTCTATGGCATTCCGAAGGAATCCTATGGACTTCCTGAGGAATCCTGCGCATTTCCTAAGGGACCCTGTGCATTTCCGAAGGAACTCTATGGACTTCCCTACGAAGGGCCTCGGGACCCCGCAGGTGCACGGGAGTGCGCACCGCTCTTCGCCCCCACGTTGCCCTTGCCCTCCCAGTGAGCACCCCCCCGAGGCGGTGCCCTCGCCAGCTGCGGGCGTGTCTGGGCCGCCTGGGGCGGAGGCGTCAGGAGTCAGTTGGGGAACGAAGAATGACATAAACATAACAACTCGGAGGTCCGCGCGGATTTCTCGGATCCGCGCTGGACCCCCCTGGCGGCGTCTCCGGCGCCCCTGGCGCGCTCCGCGCGCCAGGGAGAGGGGTCCAGCGCCGATCCGAGAAATCCGCGCGGCCCTCCGAGTTGTTATGTTTATGTCACTGCTCGCGCCCCTAATCAGGGGCAGCGTCAGGGGAAAATGCTCAAGGGGGAACGCATCCACACCCAACCGCCATTTCAGCGCCGATAGCGGCCCAGTAGCCCACCGCGCTAAGGAATGTCCGGATTCTTTTTTTAGAGCCAATGTTTGGTGCATCGCCGACTCAAACTCGATGTCCTCCCCCCCTGAGCCAGTCCACCTCCCCTTATCGTTGCCCCTCACAGGATGAGGCATCGCCTGGGTGCAGCTGGCAGCGTCGGTGCTCCGCGCAGTTTGCAATCTCTTGGCGGGCCTCCGTTGAACGACGGGCAGCCGCAGCACTGACCGCGGTGCAGGCCGCAGGCGGCGGATCTGGTCAGGCAGCTGGCGCATCTTTACATGCCCCCGATCTCACCTCCCAGCCAGCGTTTGCAACCGACAGCGGGCTGCGCGCTTAATTAGCGTGTTCGTTCTAATTAGCCTGCCCTCCGGCGCCACCCTCCAGTTGTTTGCACGGCAGGCGGCGTCAGTGCCCCACATCATGTTATTGGCAGATTGCCACTAAAAGGCGGACGGCAGCAGCCCAGCAGCAGTTGTGAAATCAGTGTTGCCGTCTGCTGCCAAAGGCACGGGCGCTGGGACTGCCAGCAGCTCTTGGCTCGGGAGCTTCATTTCGGGAAGGCCAACCACCCCGACACCCAAATTTGGCGTATGATAAACAGTCCTGTGTCCTGGGCGTTTACGAAACAGCCCTGCCCTGTCCGATTCCTTCCCCCGGTGCATTCACCAAACGGCTTCGCTTGTCGAGGTGCTCATCATGAGGGTGGTTCCCCTTCCCTTTATCACTGTCCACTCCGGCGTCTGCGCCACTGCTCCTGCTCCTGCTTCTCTCCCCGCCGCCTTGCTGCTGCCCGCGCCTCCCCCTCCTCCACCTCCTCCTCCTCCTCCCTCCTCCTCCCTCCTCCTCCTCCTCCCTCCTCCTCCTCCCTCCGCCGCCGCCGCCTCCTCCTCCTCCTCCTCCTCCTCCTCCTCCTCCTCCTCCTAAGCCCCTTCTGCTCAGGCCTGAGGTTTGGCGGGGCTGCCTGCTCCGATGACTTGGAGGTCAGACCCCTTCGCCTGAAGCCTTCTCCCACCCACCTCGGGGCTCACCTCCTGCTTGCTGTACCCTACATTTCCCTCTCCGCCTCCCCCCCCCACGGATGATGGATGCGGCTGCCGAGCGTCTCGCGGACGGCGGCCGTCCTCGCCCCCCTGGACTCGCACTCTCTCGAACTCGTCGGCGACGGTGGCTTCGACGACGTACCTATCTTCGCCTTCGTGCGCTCCTTCCCGAAGCCGAGTTTCGTCGTGAGCAGTTTCCTGATGATGAACTTCGACGCGAACCTCCTGTGCCTCGGCGCCAGCATCTACCTGAGGATGGTGGTCATCTTCCTGATGCCCCTCGGGAGCCCAGTCGTGTGCGCCTTCCTGGCGATGGTGAGCTTCGTGGGCACTGTCACGGGCAGCTACCTGAGGATGGTGCGATTCATGAGCGCGGACGGGAGTCTCTACCTGCTGCTTTTCCTGAGGAGGCGGCGCAGCATGCGAGTGGTCGTGATCATTCACCTGATGATAGAGGACATCGAAGCGCGGTTCTTCCTGAAGCCGAGTCGCGTCGTGAGCAGCCTCCTGATGATGAACTTCGTTGCGAGCCTCATGCACCTCGTGAGCTCTGTCGTGCGCGCCTTCCTGGTGATGCTGAGATTCGTAGGTCTTGTCGAGAGCACCTTCCTGATGACGGGGCGCCCCAAGAGCGAGGCCGAGAGCATCGACCTGAGGATGATGGGCATCGCCGTGGGTTTCTCCCTGCTGCTGAACTTCGACGAGAGCCGTTTCCTGAAGATGGACCTCGTCCTGGGCCTCAAGTGCCTCGTCGTGGGCATCTACCTGGGGATGCTGGTCTTCTTCCCGCTGCCCCACGCGAGCTCAGTCGGGTGCCCCTGCCTGGCGATGCTGAGCTCCGTGGGCCTTGTCGCGAGCAGCTACCTCAAGCGCCACGTCGGGTGCCGAAGCTCGACGAAGAGGAGAGGGCGTCAATGACCACGTTCTGGCATTGGTGTTTGTCTGTTCGGAGCTTGGAGACTTCTACGTGGAGCAATGTCGTGGGACGTGCTGCCTTGGGCCCTCCTGGTCTGCCGGTGGATCGCGGAGAAGATAGGCGTCTGGTGGTCTGGGACCCGCAGTATGCCTATCAGAGTTGGGCCTCGCAGCGGTATCGATTGCGAGGAGGGCGCCGTCTACTTCAGGAGATCTTCGACGAGTGGGCTGTTGAGGTGACCATGGCTAGGCAGCGAATGGTCCCGTGATTGCCTGCCTTTCTCCTCCTTCTCCTCCTTGCACGGTATGTCCTTTTGTTTTTTCCTTTTCCCCAGTTTTAGCCCCGACCCTACGGCCGTGCCCCGCCTTTAAAGCATTGGGCCATCCAGCCGAGGTAGGGGGTGGGTGGGAGCGAGAGTGCATCTAATGCCACGCGTGATGGGAGTTCTTCTTGTCACAGCGCCCTCTAGAGGCGAGTTAGCCACGAATCAATAATATTGTATTGTTTCAGTCTCCGCGTAGCACGCAGGACAGCTGACACGCCTCTGCAGAGTCGTTC